AAGTTTGGTGACACAAAAAAAAGTTAGAAAAGAAAACATGCCTTTTGAGGTACATCTGTTTTCTCTTCACCGGTCGGTAAGTTACTAGCTGGTTGCCCAGAAGTTACTGAAGACGTGTGAAGTTCGGACAAATGAGCGTGAATATCCAGCAGTTTAACTCTGTTTTCCACAGAAACAGCCGGGTGATTCAGAGCCACAGAAACCACTGACTTTAGCTAAACATATGACGCTTTACCGCAACTCCTTGCATCAAATGAAAAAAGTTCCTCTGATCGCACTACGACAAAAACAAGCATACAATGAATCTAACGGCTAATTTAATAAGAAAGCAAAAAAAAAAAAAAAAAAAAAGTCATCTTCACGCTATCCTTGACTAAAAATTAATAAGACAGTTATTTCAAGACAGCCATAACAAATGACTCTAAAAAAATTAAAAGTATAGAATGAAAAGCCGAGGTTTCCTGGAACACTAAAAAAACAGCTTTTAAAAACGAGGGTCTGAAGCAGAAATCACTATGCAACCTTTTTAAAAATCAAGTTCGGAAAGTTACTTTCCAGAACTATTTTAAAAACAGGCAGTGTTAAAATACCTTTACAAAGGCAACCTCCTTTTCCTGCTGACTCCAGTGACTTGTCTCCGATGCCCAATCAGTAAAAAGACGATTAAGTAACCTGAAAAAAATTTTACAACAAAAAGTTGACCAAAACTTTGGCCCTTTCTTTCTAAAGGTAGACCAAATATAGTATAAGAAATTGTACTCTAGAAACTGAGTAGCAGCTTGCCGACTACCCGCACGCAGCATATAGATCATGGAGTGGGCAACATCAAATAATCGCTGGTACTCCAAGTTCAAGCAATTCGATATAGCTTGGGGGTCATTATAAAGGGTCTCATACTGACGTAAATGAATAGAATTTGACCGCACTGCAGCCTCAACACACGAACCCAAAAACCTAACAAGAAAGGAGAAATTGAAGCAAATGATCAGTACTCAGAGTTTCAGAAAGTAACAACAAAGGAAAAAACTGAGAGTATTACACTCACTTTGCTGTATAACTGAAAGGCGTAGCTCCTATACCAAAATGAAAGAAAGAGAACAGTTACAGCTGAAGTAAGACAAAACGTACCGTTGCTCTAAAGCAGACAACGAATACACAAGCTGAGATAATGTTTCCGCGCGTTCCCATGGTGGCAACCGACTAATAGCTAATATGATTTCGGTACAAGCAAGACTGCAATCTAAAAATATTGCAGGCTATTATAATGCTGTTCAAAAACACCAGAAAAATGCATTTTTACATAACTAACATTAAAATTTGACCGAAATTTCACTAATCTGCATTTCGAGAGTTTAAAAAACAGGGAAAATATCTACAAAAAATATTCAACGCCTGAAATTAATAGCGCTGCCATTTAAAATAAAATGGTTCCGTTTGAAACAATAATTAACACTAACAAATACCTACCAGTCTGCGAACTGACGGAACTGCAAGCACTACGATCGCTAACAAAACCAGTGTCGGCCTTCTCCGTCACATGTTCTTTCTGAGAAACACTAGATGAGCTTTCTGCATACTGGGACTGCGAAGAATCCTTGCCGCTATACCCGTTGGCATTTACCTCATCTGGATCGGCCTCAACGCCTGACGCAGAAGGCGACCCTTCATCATCGGCAGCAGAAGCTATACTGCCTGCTGATGCTGAGCCACCTTCACGGCTGTCACTACTCTGCTTCAAAAATCAAAATTTTCAATAAGAATTTCTCAAAGTCGTAAGTGGAAGTAATAAAGACCTAATGATAAGCAAAACACCAAGACAACTGAATGACATTTTAGATAACACGAAGTGCTTACTAAAACTCCATCCTCAACTACAGGGAGCTGCCGTTTTTTATAATCGCAGTTAGTAACGACATTTACTGGCCGACGCCTTAGAAAAGTCGTAGGGACGGGCATTTCAGTATCACTACCAACATTTCTAGCCCGGGTAGTATAACGTCGTGAGTGGTTTGCATTATATCTAGTTTGATGGTCGTGCGATATTACATCCTGCCTCAGTTCACTGTTCAAGTTATTCTGCAACATAACCCAAAATGAAAGAGTATTTAAAAGAAATCACTAGCTTAATTTTAGGTGATGGTAATCTTACCACTTCAACGACATCTAGTAAAAAAAGATTAATTAACTACTACACAACTGACATTTATATAATGGTCCCGATTTGTAGCGTTACGCTTCTTTCTTCCGACCATAGTCATGAATGCAGCTTGAAAAAAGATAGATACGGCCTGAAACTTGGAAAACATTTAACTGTAAAGAAAATACAGCGTAATATAAGCAAATCACAATTATCAGACCGCCGCATACTGCAGTTAAAAAATATATCTCAAAAAACAGCAGTGAATATAAATAATAAAAAAGAAATTATAAGAAGTTTTTATCACCACTTGTTAGAACGCGTTGTATACCAGAAACTACTCTGAAACATCTACGTAACTACGGGAACGCAGTGACTGAAGTACCTTTTCATCAGCAAACAGTTCAAGTAAAACCAAACTCTTACGAAGAAAAAGCGACAAAATAACAAAATTACAGAATCGGTGTTACCAAAGATACAAACCAGTAAATGTTCCAGATGTGAAAAAACCTTCCTTTTCCGTTACAAAACAATAGCTTTTCAATGTTAACTGCTTCATGATTTTTTGAGCTGGTACTACCGATAGCCCTACGCAGGTCACTCTTAACCATACAAAAAATTCAAATTACAGCCATTTCGCTCATACTGGCAAAACTTAGACGAAACACACTCCTAAAGAAATAAACCGAAATGATAAAACAAAAGAGCATAGAAAAAAATATAAACTACCTAGGTGAAAAAGTTCATCACTACATTACAAAACAATTTTTTCAAAAAAATAAACTCCGTTAACCGTCCCAAAATCGGTGAAACTTTCCGCCTTCCTTCCATATACTGCAAATTTAACGAACCTCATTCCAGATCGACCACAGAAACACTTCCCCACCCACTCTATTTTACCTGCTAACAACGATGGCCACAAAAAAACATTCCATTAACTTCGTAAACCGACTCAACAAAAAAAACCAGACCCCTATGTAAAAAACCATATGGCCACTAAACTTCGGCATCAACATTATCCCAAAGCACAACAGCAGCCAGCATGATCACCCACCACGCAGTAGCCAGCACATCCAAACAATACACAAAGAACAAATTGCCAAAAAAATCTCAATACACAGAAAGTCAAATTTTTTTCCGGCCAAACCTTTCAATAGCCCGGGGTCTGAAAACTCTGTAACAAAAAAAAAAGAATGAAAATATGGCTCACCTTCAAACTTTAAAGATAAGTCACCACTAAAAATCACTGCAGTAATACGGTTCTAATTTTCCAAATACAATAGATACCCTTGAAAAGAGCGCGTTTCAAACGCAAAAACATACATCGAAGCAAAAAAAGAAAGGAAAGAACAAGTCTATTCCTCAGCATTCTTATTTATTTTAATAACAGTCATCACTTCACAACCACAACTAATAAGAAAGTACAGAAATTTGTAACAGAACTGAATGACTTCAAAAGTACCACATAGAGCACAACATCCATGTTGCAACCGAAAAACAATGAAATAGGAGTGGACAGCAACGAAGGCAGAAATGGACGCAATTTTTCAACTGGTTTATGCTGAATTACTATCTTTACTCTAGAACAAAAAAAAAAGACTAAA